GAATTTCTAGGTATGTTTATGGGGACAAAGTTTTTTAATCCTTTTCCACATTCACTGAATTTCTAGGTGTGTTTATGGGAACATAATTATTTAATCCTTTGCCACATTCACTGAATTTCTGGGTAAATCTGTGGAAACAGAATGATTTAATTCTTTGCCACATTCACTGAATTTCTGGGTACATTCACTGAATTTCTGGGTAAACTTACAGGGACAGAATTGTTTAATCCTTTGCCACATTCACTGAATTTCTAGGTGTATTTATAGGAACAGAATTATTTAATCCTTTTCCACATTCACTGAATTTCTAGGTGTATTTATGGCAACAGAATTATTTAATCTTTTGCCACATTCATTGGATTTCTAGGTAAATTTATGGGGACAAAGTTTTTTAATCCTTTACCACATTCACTGGATTTCTGGGTAAATTTACAGGGACGGAGCTGTTCAATTCTTTGCCACATTCACTGAATTTCTGGGTAAATTTACCAGCAGAAATTGGAATTTCCCACACCAGTGTACAAACAATTTCAGGGGAAAAGCCACGAAATGCCCCTGAACACCCAGCCCCAGTTTTTCCTCCTCATTTTTCAGACTTCCACGCTCCGTTTCCACTTGGCCTCCCCCCTGCACAGGGTATTAATTAATTGGTGCCAATTAACGCCAGGCACAAACAAACACCCTAATGAGCTTTACCCAGGGTGGGAATTGCTGGGTGGGAGCTGTGTCTGCTCCGGGGCTCTGGAAAATGAGGAAATTTGGGGAATTCTGGGGCACAGACGGTTCCTTTTCTCAGTGACCCGCTCCAGTTTTTGGCTCCTTGTTGGATTTATTCAGTTCCCTGTGCTGGCACTGCCAGCCCAGCCCCAAAGTGAGCAGGGGCACTGCAATCCCAAAAAAAACCAAAACCCTTTAGGAGGGAAATAAAAACACCTTAAAAAGGGAAATAAAAGCACCTTAAAAAGGGAAATAAAAGCACTTTAAGGAGGGAAATAAAAACATCTTAAGGAGGAAAATAAAAACCCCTTAAGGAAGGAAATGAAAACGCCTTCAGGAAGGAAATAAAAGCACCTTAAGGAAGGGAAATAAAAGCACCTTAAGGAAGGGAAATAAAAGCACCTTAAGGAGAGAAATAAAAGCACCTTAAGGAGGAAAATAAAAACCCCTTAAGGAAGGAAATGAAAACACCTTAAGGAGGGAAATAAAAGCACCTTAAGGAAGAGAAATAGAAGCACCTTAAGGAAGGGAAATAAAATCACCTTAAGGAAGGGAAATAAAAGCACCTTAAGGAGAGAAATAAAAGCACCTTAAGGAAGGGAAATAAAAACCCCTTAAGGAAGGAAATGAAAGCACCTTAAGGAGGGAAATAGAAGCACCTTAAGGAGGGAAATAGAAGCACCTTAAGGAAGGAAATGAAAACACCTTCAGAAAGGGAAATAGAAGCACCTTAAGGAGAGAAATAAAAGCACCTTCAGGAGGGAAATCCCAGTGGGGAACTGGAGCTGGAGCTCTGAGCCCAGAGGAGCAGCTCCTCATCCCTCCGTGTGTGGATTATTGATTAACTCCTGCATTGTTTGGGCTACCATGGGCTGTAAAAAGCCAGCCCGAGGAGTGGCCCCTGCCTGGCAGAACCTGGGGCAGTTTCCTCTCTCTGCTGCTCCTTCTGGGCTCTGAATGTCCCCAGGTGTCACAGGAACGGGATCAGCTCCACTGCCACAGCTGCACCCTCAGTCCTCCCTTGGCTGCTGTGCTTCAAAAACAGGAAAAAAAAACCCAAGATTTTTCCTCCTCCAGTGAGGCAGAATGGGGAAAACCTCCCTAAACTAAAAATTAAAATGAAAATAAGTGAAAATAAAAAGGAAAGCTGCTGCTGGACAGATTTCCTGGGCTGCCTCAACCTTTGCTTTTGGCTGACAGGAGCAGATGGTGCCACAGGTGTCCAACTCCAGCAGCTGCTGGCACAGCCAGCCCTGGCCTGGCATTTGCTCAGAAAAGGAGCAGTTTTGGTGAAAATCACAGAAACGCCTGCACTGATCCCACAGACACCTCACAGAATATTCAAATAAATTATTTATTGTGCCCAGCTCTTCCACAAACCCTGATTTGATTTTAGCATGGGGCAGGAAGGCAGGGCGAGGTCTTTCAGTCCCACTAAACACAACTGGGCACTGTTAATGACATTTCCTGTCGTTATTTCCCTGCCATTCTCATTTCCATGCACCAAAGCTGGAAATCCTGGTCCTACGGCCTCTGCTGGGATCAGCTGTGGCCTCTCAGGGCTGTCCCCACTGTCACCTGAACTGTCCTCAAAGCATTTCATCACTCAGTAACCCGGGCAGAGCTTAATGTTTAATTCTGGGAGTTCATTCCCTCCCTCCCTCGGCTGGGAATCTGGAATCCCACAGAGAATTCCCTCTGAGCACGATGAGGGGACAGAACCCACCGAAATCCCAATTCTCACACCACTGAAATCCCAATTCTCACACCACTGAAATCCCAATTTCACCTCCAGCCCTGCTGTTTCCAGCCCCCTTTCACCCAAACCCCTGCCCAGGCACCCAATTTATTCCCATTTCCCCAGAGCTGCGGTCATTTAAATCCGAGAAATCAGAATAATTGGCACAGATCAATCTTCACAGCAATAAACGCACTCAGGGGCTTTGTCAGGGCTGTGGAGCTGCACAAACCCTCAGCAGTCTGGGCTGCTTTTTCTGCCTCCGTGCCAATAAAAGCAGCGGGCAGTGCTGGGCAGATGTAACGTTTGTTTGCCCGGCTTTTGCCAGCAGCTGAATGGATTCGTGCTCTGATAAAGAGAGCACATGATGCGTTTGAGTGTCCGTGAGTCACTGCAGCCACGGGTGCTCTGTGAATCAGCAGCACCAGCCCCGAATTTACATCATTGCAGAGCAGCACGAGGGGGCAGAGCAGCTGCAGAAACCCCCAGGCTGAATAAAACCCGCTGCTTCCACATTTGGGGAGGGAAAAAAAGCAGGGAAAAGGGGCAAATGTGCCAGCTGAGTGTTTATTCCTCCCGGGGCACTGAGCGCTCCGTGCCTGGCTCACACCGCAAGGAACCTGCAGCCAAATATCCCCCAAAGCACCACCTTTAAAAAGGGAAAAAAACCCAAAACTCCTCAAAGCTGCAGCTGCCAGGGCAGAGGTTCTGCTCTGCCAAAGGGAATTTCCCTCATTTCTCTCCCAATTCGCTTTCTGAAGCTCTCCAGGGAGGTTGAGTGAAGCTGAAGCAGGGCAGGGACAGCATAGGGCTGTCCCCAGCTAAAGCAGTTCCCATTTTACACTCCAGAGCAGCCCAAACTCCTGTGAACTTAAAGTTTAAAACCATCCCAGGTTTTTTGGGGTCTTTTTGGCAGTGCAAACCCCACTTAACCTCAGCCTGCAGAGAGTAAAATGGGGCAAATGTGCCAGCTGAGTGTTTATTCTCCCAAGGCACTGAGCGCTCCGTGCCTGGCTCACACCGCAAGGAACCTGCAGCCAAATATCCCCCAAAGCACCACCTTTGAAAAGGAAAAGAGAAAACTTCCCAAAGCTGCAGCTGCCAGGGCAGAGGTTCTGCTCTGCCAAAGGGAATTTCCCTCATTTCTCTCCCAATTCCCTTTCTGAAGCTCTCCAGGGAGGTTGAGTGAAGCTGAAGCAGGGCAGGGACAGCACAGGGCTGTCCCCAGCTAAAGCAGTTCCATTTTACATTCCAGAGCAGCCCAGACTCCTGCGAATTTAAAGTTTAAAACCATCCCAGTTGGTTTTTTTTGGCAGTGCAAACCCCACTTAACCTCAGCCTGCAGAGAGTAAAATGGGGCAAATGTGCCAGCTGAGTGTTTATTCCTCCCGGGGCACTGAGCACTCCGTGCCTGGCTCACACTCTAAGGAACCTGCAGCCAAATATCCCCCAAAGCACCACCTTTAAAAAGGAAAAAAAACCCAAAACTCCTCAAAGCTGCAGCTGCCAGGGCAGAGGTTCTGCTCTGCCAAAGGGAATTTCCCTCATTTCTCTCCCAATTCCCTTTCTGAAGCTCTCCAGGGAGGTTGAGTGAAGCTGAAGCAGGGCAGGGACAGCACAGGGCTGTCCCCAGCTAAAGCAGTTCCCATTTTACACTCCAGAGCAGCCCAAACTCCTGTGAATTTAAAGTTTTAAACCATCCCAGGTTTTTTTTGGCAGTGCAAACCCCACTTTACCTGAACCTGCAGCAGAGTGTGGCCAAGGTGAACAATTAGGCAAGCTTCATTAAACCTCCCCAAAGGGGATGTTTGTTCCTGTTACTCAAATACCCCATTTCCTTGGAAAGCAGAGGAATTGCTGCCTTGCTTATCATTATCAGGTTGTTTTTTTTTAATTATATGCATTAAATTATTCTTGATGGCCACTCCCAATTACTCCTCAGGACACTGCTGATGTGACCAAGGGAATCACACACAGCAGTGCCACTGCTGCCTCTGGACAGGCACTGGGACTGGACGGCCTTTAACCACAGGAACTGTGCAATATCCATCCCCTCACTGCCCTTCCTCAGCTTTCCCAGCGTGGCCCCAGCTCCAGAATATCCAGGATAATTGGGGTAGTGTCCATTCAAACTCCTCTCACAGCCTCATCCTGCTGCAACAGCCTCCGCTGAGTTTTGGGGTTGATTTAAGGCTGGATTTAAAGGTTGATTTAAGGGTTTATTCTTGCACTCCCTCCCCAGGGCTCTGCCACCACTGGGGCTGTGACATTCCCACTGCAGTTCCCTCAGTTTCCCATTCTCACCCTGCTCCCTTTGGCTCTCCAGTTTGGATCAGAAATGCTTTTTTTACTGCCCACTACAGAAGTTACACACACACCCATGAAGATCTGTTGGCCACAGGAAGAAATGTGCCTGCAGCACAGGAAATAAACTGATAAGAAGCAAAAAAAAAAAAAAAAAAAATAAAAGGAAAGATAATGTTGTTCTCACCTTCAAAAATGCTTCTCTGCTTGATCAAAGAGCAAAGCAACACCAAAGCTCACATTATCAAATAAATTAATTCAATTTTTAATCAGAGAGAAATCAAAGACTTTTGTGATTTTGCCAGGCCACCTCCTCTCCCCAAAGCTGCTTTATTTACCACGGCACAACTCTAAATTTCACATCAGCTGGCAAAACAGGAAGGTCTTGAGGAAAAGCAGAGAAACCGACCCGTTCTGAGAAGCCAGATGGGCAAACTGCTGGGAGGGTCCTTGTGAAACATCTGCCCTTGTCCTGCTGTAGCACAGAACCCAGGGCTGGCTGCAGGAAATGCTGAGCAGGGATCCACGGAGCTGATGATGGAGATTTCTCCTGAGCAGCTGAGCTCAGGCTGATTTCACTTGACAATTGTTTCTTCTCCCTTGTAAACCACCACGTTCTGCTCTGTCTCGTGCACTTCCACCTTGTAAAGGATGCCCTGGGGCAGGAGCTTCTGGAGGCTGTCCCAGATGAACACAGCCACGTTCTCCGTGGTGCTGAGGGGGAACAGCAGCAGGGCAGGGCTGGAATGGCAGAACTGACACCAAAATCTGCAGGCAGGGTGGGCTGGGGGATGCTGAGGGGCAGCTGGGGACACCTGAGCTGCGTGGGGATGGTGGCACTGCCAGCACAGGGGATGGGATGGGGTGGGATGGGGTGGGATGGGATGGGATAGGATGGGATGGGATGGGATGGGATGGGATGGGATGGGATGGGATGGGATGGGATGGGATGGGATGGGATGGGATGGGATGGGATGGGGTGGGATGGATGGGATGGGATGGGATGGGATGGGTGGGATGGGGTGGGATGGGATGGGATGGGGTGGGCAGGGTGGGATGGGATGGGATGGGATGGGATGGGTGGGATGGGATGGGGTGGGATGGGATGGGTGGGATGGGCAGGTCCAGCCTGTCCAGGCTGATGTGAGGAGGGGCAGCAGGGCTGGACACAGTGTGGTCAGCACACAGGGACAGGCTGCTGCTGCTGCTGCTGCTGCTGCTGCTGCTGCTTCCAGGGAGGATCAGCCCCTCCAGGAGCCCCCCAGACCCACCTCACCACCTCAGAGAAGTAGGGCACGTCCTTGTCCAGGTTTTTGTGGTCAAGGGGCTCCATGATCGCTGCCTGCAGAGAGAGGACAGTGCCAGCCCTGTCCCTGTCCCTGCCTGGCCTGAGGCTCAGGTCACCCCACACAGCCAGGATGGGAAGAAAGGGAAAGAGCCCCAGATCCAGCTGTGAGATTCCCAGCTGGAGATGTGGCTCTGCCTCACAGAACAGAGCTAAGCCATTTATTCTTCAATTATTGCCTAATTTCCTTTTGATGTCCTGCCATCAGCAGCTCACCACGGACCAGACAAGCTCTGATCATCTCTCCCAGGGGATTAGAAGGAAAACTGGGCTATTTTTACCTGCATGTATTCCTTCAGGTCTGTCAGGTTCATCACCATCCCCGAGACTGGGTCAATCTGCAGGGAAGCACAAGGGACATTGGTGGCAACACAAACCAGACAGGAATATCTGTGCTCAGCTCATCTGAGCCACAAGGAAATTATCTTCCCACTGTCAGAGGGCTCCAGCTCCACTCCTGTGATGTTTCCAAGGCCTTGATACAGCCTGGAAGCAATTCCAGAGGTTCCACTCTTTCCTAAAAGCTGACACCAGGCAGAAACAACGCTCTGGAAGAGCCTTCAAGCATGAAAACAGCATTAAACTGCAAATCCTTGCTGTGAACAGGACTGGCCACAGAAAACCTGCTCTAGTGATGTGCACAGAGTTTCTGAAATACTCTGGGAAATCCAGGCTTGGGGGCCAGAACTGTGGGGATTCTGCCACACTGAGGGACAGAAAAAGGCGCTGGCAGCACTCACCTCTCCACGCACAGTGACCACAACTGAAAAAGAGAAAAGATCAGGTCACTGTGATGCCCAGGAACCCCAAACCAAAGCTGCTGCTGCTGCTGCTGGGACACACAACCCCAAACCAAATCTGCTGCTGCTGCTGGGCTGCACTCGGGAGTGGGCCTGTGAGGGGATGCTCCATAGGAACAGTGACTCAGAGGCACAAAAATCCCTCCCCAAGGGCCGGTGCCACAGGCAGGCTGGAGATAAGCCTGTCTCCCCTGGTAAAGCAGCTCCTCAGCAGAGGTTTCAGGGTGCCAGCAACACAGGGAGCCACTCCAGGAACGGGAGAGATCTAATTCTCTGTGCTCGGGGTGTACAAATGGGAGAACTTGTGAGAAAACCCATTCAAATAATGTTTACAGGCTGTTTAATTTGCATGGCTTTTGCTTAGAAAAATCTCCATTCCAATCACAATGACTCTGCAGAGTGTAAACAAGCAGACTTGATTCAAAAAGTGGCATTTGAAAATAAATATTTATTATCTATTCAGCTGAAAAATGGCAAACCCACGCTATGGTTCAACGCCCTGCTGCTGAAATTCCCTCCTAATTCTGAATAAAAACACAAACCCAGCCACTAAAAGCTGCATCAGGCTGCTGAGAATGAGTGGCCCAGCCCTCCCCACCCTGAGAGCACCACTCCAGAGCCAGGATGGAAATCAGCTCCCTTCCTACCTTTGTAGTTGTGTCCGTGGCCGTTTGGATTGTTGCACTTCCCAAACAGCTTCAGGTTCTCCTCATCACTCAGGGATTTGCTGTGGGAAAGGCGGGCATGGATCTGTTCCACATCTCCATGGATTCACTCCACTCTGCTTTCCAGCTCTCCATCCCTTCCCTCTCCCACATTTAACCGGCCCAGGAGGCACAAACACAGAGAGAGTGTCTGGTCCATGAAAAGATGCTGTTGACAGCACTGAATCTTTCCTTGCTGTGGTTTTGTGTCTGTTTCACAGCATCTGCCTGACACCACTGCTGGATAAATGTTCAACATCTGGGCCCAAAATCACTTAGGCCTGGAGCAAGCTGCACATTTGGGTTTATTATTACTGATTAACAAAGCTGAGGGAGCCTCTCCATAAAGTACAAAGGATTTCCCTCTGAATCTTCCCTTTGAAGCAATCCAGGGCCCTGCTCTGAGTGTTTCAGGTCAAGGCACATTTTGGGAACATCACAGAACCCCAGGGTCACTGCGGTTGGAAAAGAACCGTGAGATCATGGGCTCCAGAGCCAGAGCCAGAGCACCGAGTGCCACATCCAGGAGTTCCTCGGGCACCTCCAGGGATGGGGACTCCCCGGGCAGCCCCTTCCAAGGCCTGGCCACCGTTTCCATGGAGAAATCCCCCTGATCTCCAGCCTAAACCTCCTCTGGCACAGCTCGAGGCTGTTTCCCCTCATCCTACCGCTCCCTAGCCTGGGAGAAGAGACTGAGCCTAAAACTGAGGCAGCTTCAGGTCAAGGAATTTATCAGTTTTGGGGGGAAAACCAGCAGATCGGGGGGCGCAGGGCGATGCTTACAAAGCGAAAGCGCTGCCGGCTCTGTCAGAACACGGAACTGCAGCCGGGCACTGAGGGCTGGCTGCGGGAAGGGGCCGAGCGAGGGACACAACCGGGAAACGCAGCGGGGCCGGGAGCCTCCTCCCGGCGGGGCTCAGCCGTGCGGGGCTCCCTGTGCGGGGCTCCCTGTGCTGGGCCGCTCCCTGTGCGGGGCCCTGTGCTGGGCTCCCTATGCGGGGCTCACCTGTGCGGGGCTCACCTGTGCAGGCGGTGGCAGGCGCTGAAGGTGACGGAGCGCGACAGCCGCGCCAGGCGGGCGGAGCGCGGCGACATCGCGGGGACGCAGCGGGGCCGGAGCGGGGCGGCTCCAGCCCGGCCCCGGGGGCGGCTCCGGCCCGCGGGATCCGCCCTCCGAGACCGGGGAATGCTCCAGTTCCTCCCCGTGTTCGGCCCCGGGGTGCTCCGGTCCCTCCGTGCGGAGTCAGGCTTAAGAATCCTCCAATCCCCCGTGTTCAGCCCCGAGGATGCTCCTGTTCCTCCCCGTGTCCAGTCCCGAGGATGCTCCGGTCCCTCCGTGCCGGTGCTGAATGCGGGGACGCTCCAATCCTGCCGTGTTCGGCCCCGGGGATGCTCCGGTCGCTCCGTGCGGGGTCGGACTCAAGAATGCTCCAATCCCCCGTGTTCAGACCCGAGGATGCTCCTGTTCCCCCTGTTCAGCCCCCGGGATGCTCCAATTCCCCGTGTTCAGCCCCCAGGATGCTCCAATCCCCCGTGTTCAGCCCCCAGGATGCTCCAATCCCCCGTGTTCAGCCCCCGGGATGCTCCAATTCCCCGTGTTCTGCCCCGGGGATGCTCCAATCCCCCATGTTCAGCCCCGAGGATGCTCCTGTTCCCCGTGTTCAGCCCCGGGATGCTCCAATCCCCCGTGTTCAGCCTCAGGAAGCTCCTTCTCCCCCCAATGTCAGCGTTGGACCCAGGGCTGGTTATGGACATCCCTGAAGGGGCACACCCCGGCAATAACATTCATGGAGTTCAAGCAGAAGAACCCTTAGAGTGTGGTGATTTTCAGAAAGGGAGTAACTGGATTTCTCAGCGCTGCAAGGGTTTGAACGTGCATTCCCTCAGTTCCTGGGAACTGCCGGCGGGACCGGAGTGAATCCGTCAGGGTGGGAAAACCCCGAGCCGCGGGGCAGGGTCTGTGTGAGAGGATCCGCAGGTGTTGGGGAAGATCAAACAGGAAAGCCTTATCAAATGATTGCCTGGCAAAAGATTTGGAGAATATGGAAACTATAAGCGAGATTGAAATGAAAGCAAGATTTGAGATCCCTCAGTTACTGAACAACTGGAAAACAATGGTGTGGCTGCTGAAGGTGATCCCCTTTTGATGGAACAACACCCTCTGCTTGCAGACAGGCCCAAGGGGCAGAGCAGACCCTACAGCTTGGCAGAAGGGGCCCAAAGAGGAGTTTGTAGGGTTTAAAATGTAACACAGGATGGTGATGTAATGATTCTTATAGGCTGTATGGAAATGCTGTAGGATTTGTGTGTTGTACTAGATTGGTCAGTGAGAATTAGAATATTCAACACAGAAGATGATTTATGGTGTTGTAACGGGAACGTCACGCTCTTACCTTTTGCCTCTTAGCTCTTGCCTTTTACTCTCTTACCCTTTTACTCTCTTACCCTCTCTCTTCTCTCAGGCCTGCTCTGAGCTGTGCCTGGCAGCTTCCAGCAGGGCCCTGCCCTTGGCCCTTTGCAATGAACCCCAAATTCCACGCCCTGGCTGCAGAGATCTCTCATCTCCGTCCGTCCCGACCGTGCCACCCCCTTCAATCCTCCACGCCGGAGCTGCTGGGGTGGGGAGCGCAGCCCGTGTGCGCAGCCCAGGCGGGGCTGCGTGCTGGGGAAGCGGAGCTTTAAACACGGCAACTTTTCTCTAATCCACTCAAGGCGCCACCTGAGCCTCGGACCCCTTTCCGTTTCCCACCTCAACGAGAAAAAAAAAAAAAATTAAAAAAGAGAACCAGTGGTGGCTGAACTCCATCAAACTCCTCGTGGCACCATTGTGCTGCCCGTGCTGGGGCTGCTCCCTCGGGGACAGGCTCCAGGAGGAGGGCAGGGTGTGACAGTGACCGAGGCTGCTGAACGGGAGCTGTTTGCCATCTAGTGGCTTCCACCAGCTCCGGCTGAGCCTCCTCTGCCTCTCCCAGGGCAGCAGCCCTGAGGCAAAATCCTTTTTCTTTTCCCCAGACCTGTAAGGAAGGTGAGGGAAGCTAAGAGGAGGAAAAACCCCAAGGGCGAAAGGGCTCCTTTATTAACCAAGGAAATTATTCAAATAATTCTTCACAATGAAAAAGTACAACCAGAAGTCCTCACTGCTGACCCACCCAGAGTCCAGGATCTGGAGAAGCCTGGATGACACAGGGGGCTGGAGTTTGTTCTGCTCTGCTTAACCCCAGAGGGACACCAAGGCCTCAGTGGGGCTCTCTGTGTTTCCTACTGGTGTTTCCTACTGGTGGAACTGGGAGGACTGCAGGCACTGTCAGCCAGCAGAGCTGTGTCCTGCCCTGGAGATGTGTCCCCACATCTACAAGACTCTGAGGGCAGGCAGAGAAAGGAAAAACTTCCCAAGGTTTTATTTGAGGGCACTGCTATGGTACAGAAAAAAGCACAAGCACAGCTTCTGTGAGTGTCTGCATCTACCCCCTGGAGCCCACTGAAGGCAACCTGGATGCAAGGGGGGCATTTACTCCCCTTCCCTGGCCCCACCTGTCACCTGCTGGGCTTTACTCCTCTCTTCTGCTCTACACATTCCAGCCAAAGTCACAGCCCCGAGCGTTGATGTTCTCTTCCCCTCAGGGCACCAAAGGAAGGGGTTCATCACCTCAGTTTCCATTTTCTGCCTTGCAAGCCTCACCCTGGCATCCTTAGTGAACTGCTCCTATAGCTGGTCTAGCAAGATAGTAAAAGAAATGCAGATAAAGCAGTGGGCTGTGGGAGCAAAGGGCTCCTGCCTTCCTTGGCTGTGTTTTGTTATATAGAATACAGGAGGTTGTGGTGGAGAAAAAGCAGCTCCTTCATCCCAGACGTGATGGAAAGGTGGGAGGTGAAGGCAGCAGAGGTTCTTTGTGGGGCTGGCTCAGCCCTGAGTCCCAGGAGGTGCCCAGGAGTCCCTCAGTGGGCACTGAAGATGCCGTGGAACCCGTAAGGCATTGGCACCCCGACTTCTGCTCGCCCCAGCTCCTGGAAGGTCTCTGCATCCAGGACAAGCAGGAAAGCACTTTGGTTCTGCAGGAGGAGCAGAAAGGCAGAGTGAGTGGCCAGGCTGAACTTCTTGCACTGTTTGCACACAAAGGCACAGAGCAAACCACGGAGACCAAACCTGCAGGGCAGGAGCTCTGAGCCTCACAGCTTCCACTGGGGACACAGCAACATCCTGGGCAAAACTCCTGCCTGCACTGCCTGTGCTTGGCCAGGCACTCTGGAGAGCCAGAACTACCTGCCAGGGAGCCTCCAGCCCGGCTTTGAGGTTTAAAAAGTGAATTAATGCCGTGTGACTTTGACAAACTACAGCCAGCAAGTTACCTCAGCAGGGGAGACCACCACAGACAAGATGACTCCGCTGTCCTCTGCCGTGGCATTGGGCACTGGCACAAACACGGGCTCTGATGGATAGCATCCCTCCTCCTGCCAAATCTAGCAAGCACAGAACATATGGATGAGCTTCAGGGACGTATGGATGAGCCTCATTGCATTAATACTTGTCTGCTACGGTGAGCAGAGTTACAAGTGCTCCCCACAAAGGCACCTGGAAATACTCTGGGCTCCAAGAAACTTAAGAGTTCAACTTTTTATGAACTTTTTTTTTCCATTCCAGGAGAGTGCTGGTGCCATCCTCTCCTGTTTGGTGACTGTGCCACCTTCATAAGGTGCCAGGTGAGGGATGAAACTGGGAATCTCATCCCAGAGCCATCTGTGCAAAGCCCTAAAAAACCCCCAGTAAACGTCACACCTTCAAATCCAGTTCAGGGGAAGGACTCGACGAGCTGACTTCACCTCACCTTGAAATTCTTGGTCTCCACATCAACCTTGATCAAGGAGTCCCCGAGCAGGTGCCCGAAGCCGCAGCCGTAGAAGTAGCGGTACCTGCGGCCGTTGTGCGCCGCGTAATTGATCTGGGGGAACTCCAGCCCCCCGACTTTCTCAAAGCCCTCAGGGTGGAGATTTTCGTGTGTGCACCAGACCTGGGAGAAAAAGAAAATTGCAGAGTAATTTCTCCAGGAAATGTGCGGGGTTGGTTCAGCTTGGACAGGGCAGGAGAGCTGGCTGGTCCCACCAACCACCGCACAACCAGAGGTGCTGAAAGCTGTGAGGAACGGGAGCTGCTGCAGAAATGCATTTATGCTTTGGTACACACCTTGCCATCTGCACCCTTCACAGCCTTTGCCTGGGTGTAAGGCAGTGGGTTCAGGTTTTTCCCCATGGGTGTGTCTGGACCCACGTCCAGAGGGAGAACAAAGCGGCGAGGGAAAGATCTGGGGACGGAGGCATAAACCTGTTAGAGAGACAGAGAGTGATGGTGATGGACAGAGGACAGACATTTCAGCTTAAATGCACTTTTAGGGAACAATTCTGAAGTTTTAGACACCCCTGAATTCTTCTTCTTCTTTTCCTTATGTGTTTGACCAAGTTCTGGTAAGGTAAAGCACATAATGGAAAGAAGAAGTTCCTGCATGTTCCAGTAATTTACAGCAGAAACTAAAACCACATGAATTAAAAGGGTCAGCACTGCTCTCACAGTAATTAATGCTGAGCTGGGTATGCAAATCAGCCCAATAAAAAACCATTATCACCAAATCCAGCAATGGGACAGACACTGCATGTGTTTTATTCAGTTAGAACAGGCTTGTGTTGCTTCACATCACTCTGAGGAGAAGCAGGAGAGCACTGTGCCTTCAGTGCCTGAAGCTCCCCTGCAGGATTCCCTCCTCCATGCTCAGGTAGCCGTGGATTCATGGTTGGAAGTCCAGGGGAATGATGGTGGATTTACCTGGGGAGCAAAATGCAGCCCCCAGTGTGGCAGACACTCAGCAAATTGAGAGGATAATTCCACCACTGCCACTAAAGCTCTGCTCGAGCCAAGTTCTCAACCCATCATATTCCCATTTAAGTAAAATAGATAAGGACCCTGTTTTGGTGTGTTGTGGTTACTTCAATCCACAACTCACCAGCTCACTTGTGAAACTCCCTGTTAATTACATGTTAACCTTGTTTTCAAACCTTTTCTGGTTCATGTAATCTGGCTGAGGAACTCTGCCAGACAGAGTACTCTGC